CGATAGGTCTAACTCAATCTGACCTAATGACATCATTATCACATGGCACAGCTGATTGGTTCTCTCCTGTATCGGTAGCCAATGAGCTCGCTGCTCAACATTCAAATATATGTCTAGTGCTTGCCGTAGCAGTGCAGCGTTCTTCAGAAACCCTTCACCTTCCCCAGCTCCACCTGTATAGATCTGCTACGAGGTGATTCATGTATGCTATATGGGGGTTATTTCATGTATGTTATATTTGCAGCAGTTATATTTCTTACATGCTCACAGCAGCATGTTGTGGATGTATTGGCAGTAGTAAGTCTCTGTACTTGCTCTGCCGCAGCAGCAGCAGCAGCAGCAGCAGATCTATCCCGCCAAGACCAAATACATTAACATTGTCATGTACATTACCATGCCAATCTCTCGGAGAGTTGTCATGACAGAAATAAATTGAGAAAGAAAATCGTAATTGTGAGATATAAGGTCACAATTATCTTTCTATTTAAGACATTCAGAAAGATTTAGTTTAGTGGCTGAATTATTAGATTTTGTCCTCTTGATACTGAATATGTTGTACTTAATTGTCAATTAATCGCTGATTTTCAATTTTATTTCTTAAGACATCTAAATAGTAATTTTGACATTACAGAGAATAACTTCTACAGGATTGGTGGGGGGAAAAAATCCCATTTATATGCTTTAATTTGATTTTTTGCAGCCCAGCAGGATGAGAACGAATCAACAGGGGGTAAATTCCTTGTGAAGGCACTGTATTTCAACCTTGAAAATCAGGGCTGTCTGTCACCGGGACTGAAATCAGACCAGCTTAACAGGCAAAAGTGACTAACATCAGACAAGCAATCAGCATTTAATCTGAAACAATATGTGGTATGACCATCATTGCATGCACCTGTTTTCAATTTCATGTATAAATAGAGCATTTCTCACTGTGATATGGAGCAAACTTCTTTACTGTGGTTCTCATCTACGGTACCTTACATGCTTTGTTTTAGGTTAGCTTTTCATGTTTAAAGTGGATTGTGCAAACTGTACAATTTATATATTCCTTTGCAATTGTTGATTGTCAGACAGTATGGACATGATCCCAGCTATTAGACATGACGCACTGTGGGATCTTATTTGTCATTTACATCAGACTGTACGACAGTCAAGACTCGTTAAAAACAGACATCCGCAAAAAGACTTGGCCGGCGTTTTATATCATCAATCCATGACACGTTTGGTGACAGGGAGCCACACTGACAAGTGGAATTGAAATGGTGGCTAGCAAACAAAAACAGTCTCTAGCATTAACTTTAACCATGGCTTGTCTTGAAAGAAAAATGAAAAAAACAAAACAAAAACAAAGATGTGTTTGGAGCAAGTGGTGATTTGTTGTTGTCGCACTCAGCGGTTCTACTAATGGTTCTTGACGTCTTGATATCATTGTAAGAGAAGTCACACTGCAGGACTGTGCCTCAAATTTCAGAGGAATCCTTTCGAATTTGCAAAAATTGTCTCAGATGGCTAAACTGTGGCTAAAATCATATAGTGTGAACCCAGCTTAAGAAAAGTCCATAAAAATACAGCCCATTGTATACCATGTTACCATGAAGGAATTTTCCGTATGCTGATTTTTACATGTGTTTTACCCATATTTTGAATTACACACTGCATTATGTTGTGTTTTAAGGTTGAAGGAAATATCCATAAACTTAATGGTATTTTTCTGTCAGGATATTCTCCTTTTATGGTTTTGGTTTTTTAAAATGTGTCTACAGATTCCCAATCTGGTTTCAAGTCTTAATCTGTTACCTTCGCCTGATCTATTTAATTGGAATCAGCATGCGATCTCACAGCTGATCATGCAGACAGACCCCTTCAATGTTACTTGTTGGATCATTTTGTGGAGATTGCTGTGCATGTCGCACCCCCGTTCATTTTACTGTGTTGCCTGCTGTGTGTACTGATGTTAGAGGTAATGTTGCATTTAAAAAGTTTCTTTTAAAAACTGTTTACCAGCTTTTAGTTTTCCATTCTTGGTTTTGTTCAAGCTGATGGATGGTTACCTCATGGGGATTTTATAATGTCTCTTCTAGTAGACATACAAAGAATAATGAAGCCATTAACTGGGAATCTTGTGCTGTTGTTCACCGTCTTTTTGCAACCTACAGTACCTAGGTACTGTCATGTGCATAATGTTTCAGTGACTGAAATGGTCTGCTTATATGGCTGAAAAACTAATTTTCACCCAGTAGCAACTTTACATCAAACAATGTCGACTACTGTTGCAACTAACTTTGTAAATCCAGTGTGTGACTGGTTTAGAATAAGACCGCACTGTTCTAGTCAGGGGTCAAGGTGGTCTAAATTTTAAAAAGGTTGTGTTAGGAAAGCAGTTTCCTTCATTCACACCTTCATTGTGAACCATTTGTCCTTTGTGCTTGGATAAAGTAGTCTTTAGCTCTGCAAGTATGGTGATGGCCTGAAAAATTTACTTTTAGTTTGACAAACTAAAATAGAGGTTACAAAGCATGTTCCCTTACTGTTAAGCTTCCTAGGTTGATTTGTTCCCAGTGTGACATAGTCAAGTGAAACTGCCATGACTCTCACAATCAATTTTTATGAACATTCTGATAGAAAAAAGTGCCTAAAAATCTCGTCTTATTCAAAAGGTTTGCATATAAAATCTATTCCTTTTGTGAACGCAAGATTTGGATATTCAAAGCTGCAATTTAGTGTGATTACTGTAATTGCATCGGGTTCTCATTGAGCACAATGTTAAAAATGGCATCATCTCGTGCACAGTGGAGGCATGGCTGAAACAGCAATATAAGTTGAAGATAATAGTGATATATAGTTTTAAACTGAGTCAGCAAGTTACAACGAGAACTGCTGCTTAAAATCGAGACATATATCATTTGAAATGCAATTCAAAAAGGAAATACAACAGCATGAAAATTTCCTGTTTTGAGTGATTACATTATAGCACAACACAAAGCAAACTGTCTGCCTGCCTGGAGAAATGATTCACTCATCAGCTAATCAGGCAGCTTGATATTGGCATAGGAGCAGTGTTGGGAAAGCAACTCATAATGTGGGTCAACTACAGTTAAATTACCCTTTTAAAAGGTAGTAAGTTACACACTACTAACAAAATGTAGCTAACTACGCTGAAGCAATAATTGGAGTATTTGTCATTTCAGTACCTAAACTGTATATGAAGCAGTGTAATTCTGCAATAAGATTATTTGTCTGATAAATATAACTTAATTTTACAGCAAATACAACTAATAAAAACAAGACAGCCTCATGTCTTAGTATTTTTTTTACCATACACTGAAAGTCACTGGGGTCCAAGGTTGTTTTCATTGTACAGACAAAACCAGTTTAAACATTCTTCAAAAACATTTTTGTGTTCCACAGAAGAAAGAAAGTAATGCAACATGAAGGTGAGGAATGATGACAGAATTTTCATTTTTGAGTGAACTATCCTTTTAAATGCAGCTATATGCCAATATTTGTTTCACTCAAATTAGTGTGAATTCTGTTTTTTGTACTAAAATTTTATGCTTTAAATGTAACCCCTTTAACAAAGTTTTTGGCTCATAAAAATGCACGGGTTAAAATCAATCACTGAACCATTAATTTGATAATTTAATGTGAAAAAACTGGTTGACTCAATGAAGCAACATATTAGAGAGACGTTTTGTGTTTAAAAGTTTGGGGAGGCAATACAATGTGATGAAAAATAAAAAATTTAGCTATAATGCAGACTATATGGCTACTTTACTAAAAATAGTGAATTGACCAGAAAACTTTCACTACTTTGAAAAAAGATAAAAATACAGATACTAATATAGAAGCTAGTAGCATTACTACTTTTTTTGTTAGCTACTTCCCAACACTGCTTAGGAGGTACAGAAAGGGATTTTCATTTCATTTCATATTGTTGCTCTTTTGTTAGTTTTGACTGCTTTTATTGTCCCCATTTGTAAGTCGCTTTGGATAAAAGCGTCAGCTAAATGACTAAAATTTAAAATAATAAAATGTCATAGCTGTCAGTAAGAAAGTTAACATTACAAGGAAGCAAACTGAATAGAGCTCTACCAAATTTCCTTTAATGCTCCTAAAAGTGTCCCCACATCCTTCATATCCTCAAAGCATGTTTAACAGAGTGCAAGAGTTGAGCGACAGTCAGCGTCTCCTCTCTGACCTTGTACAGATAAAAAATTTGCTTTGCCTTTGCTGAGTGGAAGCTGAGAAGTGAAGCTTGTCCAAGTTTCCCTTCACAGGAAAGGACAAAATGTCACAGGTCGCAATGACTCGTCTCTCACTCTCACAGCATTTCAGTTCCTGGTCAGAGTCCTGTGGCCGATTGATAAACTAATATGACATTTCTTTGGATCTCTGCCTCAGATCTAAACCAGCTGTGTATACTAGCTAAAGGTGTTAACATCGCTCAAAATATATGTTCTTTTATCAGGTTTATATTGTGGTGCAGAGTAGTACTGAAAGGTGTAAAGTTAACACTACTTATAAGTATTTAATCTAGATAGTGCCTTTGATCTGACCACACAGAACCAACAGTATTACGTTTTAAATATGACCACCCTGCGTTTTCAAAATCACTGTTCAATCTCAAGGTTTGAATTTATCCTATCTCTGCAACAGCAGCCAATGAAAGCAAAGCCTAGAGATATGAATGAGACAAAGGCTGGGGGAAAGACATGAGTAAACATGTCAACCACGATCTCTCTTCTTTATGTTTACTATAGAGGTCAGTAGGGCCACAGAGGCACAAAAGGCATGACTGTGGATGCATACAGCTGGTTTCCATGGAATCTGTACCATTTAGTTCCTCTTAATGAATGCTAGTAAAATGTTGAGTATGCTGTACCTCATTTTTCATTTTCTATATACCTACAGGTCCTCAGCAGTAATTGATCTGTGAGAGCATTTGTGCACAACAGCAGATGGGCAGTGCAGAACTGGCTGCAATGCATTCGATTAAGAAGGACTGGCAATGTCTGGTGCGGTCAGGAGGAGAATATAGTACGTCTTGCACAGCCCTCTTTCATTAGCAATGCAGATGTGTGTTGCATAGAACTGTGAATTCTGTTTCGTGCAATGTGTTTTCAGCAATATAAAATGCAGATAGATAAATAAGAGAAGCAACATAATCACTCAAAAAATTTTTTGGTTCAAATGAGGCAAGGAGGTCTAATTTACCTGGAGATCTATTTGTCATAGCACTTCATCTCTATGGTAGTTGCTTGGCTGGTGCATGCAGTCCAGGAAAACATGACCTAGATAAAGAGTAAAGATCACTGGTTGAACATAGATAATTTTTATCATTTTATTTTTAAAAAAATTGATCTAGTCTGAATACACATCTATTTTGAATGGCCATCAATGGCAAAATATGTTTTTTGTTCAACTTCAAATAATGGTGTATTTTACCATCAGGGCTGAAACTGGCCAGTTGGTCGATTATGTGGTTATATGGAGAAATAGAAAGAAAGAAAGAAAGAGAGAAAGAAAGAAAGAAAGAAAGAAAGAGAGACCAACAGTATTACGTTTTAAATATGACCACCCTGCGTTTTCAAAATCACTGTTCAATCTCAAGGTTTGAATTTATCCTATCTCTGCAACAGCAGCCAATGAAAGCAAAGCCTAGAGATATGAATGAGACAAAGGCTGGGGGAAAGACATGAGTAAACATGTCAACCACGATCTCTCTTCTTTATGTTTACTATAGAGGTCAGTAGGGCCACAGAGGCACAAAAGGCATGACTGTGGATGCATACAGCTGGTTTCCATGGAATCTGTACCATTTAGTTCCTCTTAATGAATGCTAGTAAAATGTTGAGTATGCTGTACCTCATTTTTCATTTTCTATATACCTACAGGTCCTCAGCAGTAATTGATCTGTGAGAGCATTTGTGCACAACAGCAGATGGGCAGTGCAGAACTGGCTGCAATGCATTCGATTAAGAAGGACTGGCAATGTCTGGTGCGGTCAGGAGGAGAATATAGTACGTCTTGCACAGCCCTCTTTCATTAGCAATGCAGATGTGTGTTGCATAGAACTGTGAATTCTGTTTCGTGCAATGTGTTTTCAGCAATATAAAATGCAGATAGGTAAATAAGAGAAGCAACATAATCACTCAAAAAATTTTTTGGTTCAAATGAGGCAAGGAGGTCTAATTTACCTGGAGATCTATTTGTCATAGCACTTCATCTCTATGGTAGTTGCTTGGCTGGTGCATGCAGTCCAGGAAAGCATGACCTAGATAAAGAGTAAAGATCACTGGTTGAACATAGATAATTTTTATCATTTTATTTAAAAAAAAATTGATCTAGTCTGAATACACATCTATTTTGAATGGCCATCAATGGCAAAATATGTTTTTTGTTCAACTTCAAATAATGGTGTATTTTACCATCAGGGCTGAAACTGGCCAGTTGGTCGATTATGTGGTTATATGGAGAAATAGAAAGAAAGAAAGAAAGAAAGAAAGAATATGTTTTTTGTTCAACTTCAAATAATGGTGTATTTTATTTACCATCATGAAACTGGCCAGTTGGTCGATTATGTGGTTATATGGAGAAATAGAAAGAAAGAAAGAAAGAAAGAAAGAAAGAAAGAGAGAAAGAAAGAAAGAAAGAAAGAAAGAGAGAGAGAAAGAGAGAGAGAGAAAGAAAGAAAGAAAGAAAGTAAAAAAAAAATGTGAAGTTGTAAATAAAACAGATTACTGGAGTCCACTTTACAACAAAATACTATTTCAGTCTTTCTACTTTAAAATTTCATGTTTTTTTCAAGGTGTTATTTTCGATATTTTTAATTAATTGTGAAAATTGTTTCTACAATATTTTTTCCACTGTGAAAGAAGGAAAGCTGAAAGCTGTACCTAATATGTAAACTACAAACTACAAAAATACAAACATAACAAATTGTGCGCAATAAAAGGCAAAATAGGGTCAATTGATCAATTTTGATTTCATGTTGACTTTTAAGCAATAGCTAATATCAATTTTTAAAAATTATTTTAAAAATGCATTTTAAAAATAACACATCGTAATTTAGATACTGAATTTCTGCATTTGTGTCTCAGATCGACATTATAAAAAACATGACACATTATCTATCTGGTTCAGGGATTGTTGGACTAATGTCGTTGGCCTGCATTCATTGCACAGCACTGGCTTATGAGAAGAAAACTGATAGTTAAAAAACACTTTCCTCTTTGATTCTACAGACAATGAATGGCTGTAAATATTTAAATGTGCAGTGCAAAAAGAGTCAAACATGACTGACAGAAATGCAGTTTTCCCTGGCAATGTCATAAGGATATTCTGAAGAGCTTTGTCAGTTTCACAAAGGAGCACCGGTGATTTCATGTTGACTTTTAAGCAATAGCTAATATCAATTTTTTTAAAATTATTTTAAAAATGCATTTTAAAAATAACACATCGTAATTTAGATACTGAATTTCTGCATTTGTGTCTCAGTTCGACATTATAAAAAACATGACACATTATCTATCTGGTTCAGGGATTGTTGGACTAATGTCGTTGGCCTGCATTCATTGCACAGCACTGGCTTATGAGAAGAAAACTGATAGTTAAAAAACACTTTCCTCTTTGATTCTACAGACAATGAATGGCTGTAAATATTTAAATGTGCAGTGCAAAAAGAGTCAAACATGACTGACAGAAATGCAGTTTTCCCTGGCAATGTCATAAGGATATTCTGAAGAGCTTTGTCAGTTTCACAAAGGAGCACCGGCTACATTTCGTTTCTGTTGCCCCATATCAGTATGCCCTATAGACACTGCACTTTGGAAATGCCATTGTGTATGTAAAAGTGCACACCATTGCTTGGAAAATCAATGCTGTTTTAATAAAAGGCATGGTAAAAACAGTATGCCATTAAGGTGATTATTTCTGTGCCCTTGAGCACCACCTCTATAAATCTAGAGAAAATGTTTGTGATTTTGTTCATTTAAAAACAAAATTGATATGCAAACGCAGCCTTAATGAGCTTTTTGAATATCAGCTATAATGATATTTACAAGAATAATACCGTTGAAAATATGGCTGCTGCAGTCTTTCACTTTTGTTATCAAATGCAATTAAGCAAGTTTTTTGTACTCAGGCACAAAACAAGTGCACTCACATGATGCTATTGTAAATGCTCATCCATCTGAATGTCAGGCTAATGAAATGTTTAAGAATGAGAACTCTAGCTGAGTTTAAATTACTCAAAGAACTGAAGAAGATGGCATAAGAGCTCAGGCTGAGAAGATGATATATAGACGAAGTGAGATAGAAGGGGGTTAGACGACAGCTGTTTGGAATCAGACAGAGGAAATTCACTCAAAGCATCAGACATTGAGATGCAGTATTCAGTGTTGCCTCTCAATGATTGAGACAGCACAACAGCAAGGTTGAAAAATAATTCCTGTTTTGAAACTGAATTGCATGCCATTATAGCCGTTGCTTACATTCACTATGCTGAAAATAAAAGAAAGGCCTTGAAAGAGTCTGAGACAATTTTTATCGTAGAATATGCACATTTTAAAAAGCTATAGAAGATATGATTTGCTTTTCCTGAGCTGTTAAAAATAAAGCATTTACCCAGCTAACAAAAACATGTTCTAAGAAACTTTTGCTAACATTTACATCGTAAATTACTAAAATGTTATTTTGGAATTTTCTCTGAACATTCAAAAACAGTTTTTATGTTTTTGGTTATGCAACATCAAGGGAACATTCCATTTGATCCTTTTGCAATGTCCTCTGAACATTCTGAAACAAGTAGAGACATTTAAAAATAAGACAAACATTCAATTAAAATGTTAAAAAAAAAACACTCCAAGAACGATGTACAGATGATGTTTTCTGGTTAATGTTTTGAGAACATTATTAAAGACCAAATAATGTTGAATGACCATTCCATTAACATTACAGGAAGAATTTTGAGAGAACCTTACCAGAACATTAAATAAGTTCTGAGAACATTCCCTGTTAGCTGGGTATCTCCCTACCTTTGACAAAGCATTTAAAACTTAAAAGTTTTGAATATAATTTTTCACATAGGCATGTTTTCATATACTAATAGAAAATCTCTTAAAACATGTTCTCAAAGAGCTTGTTTTTTTCCTCAGAGAACAGAAAATGATATTTTACGCCCAGTTTGAAAACAGTTTTTGCAGTTCCATTTGGTGATATTAGTGCAGTAATTACACTGCTTTAAAGGGGTCATATGATATTGCTAAAAAGAACATTATTTTGTGTATTTGGTGTAATGAAATGTGTTTATGCGGTTTAAGGTTCAAAAAACACATTATTTTCCACATACTGTACATTATTGTTTCTCCTCTATGCCCCGCCTTTCTGAAACGCGTCGATTTTTACAAAGCTCATCGGTCTGAAAAGCGAGGTGTGCTCTGATTGGCCAGCTATCCAGTGCGTTGTGATTGGCCGAATACCTCAAGCGTGTGACGGAAATGTTACGCCCCTTACCATATTGTGATGCCTTGTCCCGGCCGGAGCGATGAGACAAAAACATTAAAACCCATTATAAACGAGGCATTTGTTGCATCCAGTGGGGACATAATTACGGATTATAATGACTGTATGTATACTGTCTTTTTACGCGTTGCATTGCATCGTGCCGCGTAAACATAAAACCATGTCTGCATTTGTGATCGGAGAAATGACAAACTGCAAATGCTACTCTACACTGCTCAAAACTTGCGTTTGAATCGTCAGTGGCAAATCCTTTAAATATAAAAAAACATACTTACAGTCTGTGAGTCAGAACAACCGGCATTGTAGTCTACTCTACCAGAATCAGGATGTTTTAGGTAGGCGTGGTTGACTCTTAACTTTTATAAAGAATATCTCTTTGGATTTGAGACTTTAGTCTTTGCAACTTTACAGATCTTCTTTATGTACCAAGAGCTTGTAACACTCAAAAGAGAAAGGAAAAATTTAAATTGCATCATATGACCCCTTTAAGTTGGCTTTGGTTCTCCCTTTGAGGTCATTAGTTGAGTCTGGATCAAGCTCATTGTTATGGCCAGTGGCACTTTATGACCTTATGTAATGTTATCAATGCATGCAGCAGAGGGATTCAGCTGGACAGTTTGATATATTCATTTTTAATTACTAGAAGAGGTAAGGTGATTGGTCATAATGAGGAAGAAGTATTTTCTTTTGTGTTTACAAAATATGATCTTTCCTGTCCTAGTTCTAAGTTTCTAAACCACAAAGTAATCTGCTAAAAAAAGATGAGAAACAATCCAAAAGTTAGTTTGAAAAATGAAACAGGAGAAGACAAAGGCTTCTAAAAATACATTCATTTTTGAGGAAGGCAGACACTCTTACAGTAAAACTCAGCCCATCCTTGTCAGCATTGCAGAGGCTTTGATGAAGACGGCGTCTTTGTGATCACAGAGGATAAAGTGTGGATTATGCATATTATCTGGTGTCTCTCCCTCATTAGCAGCACAGGTATCGGAGCACCAAACAGCATATGCCTCGGCACTGTCTGTCATGACAATTGGGAAGATAAACAGTTCCCCAAATCAGTTTTTTTCTCTTTTCTCTTTTTTTTTTGGCAGCTTGCAAATGCATTCTACTGGACACGTGCTATAATTAGATCCCCAGGCCCAGTCATTTCTCTCTTTTATGTAACAAATTCAATCTTTCATTGTTGTTTGAAACACTCAGATGGTGGCATGTAACTATTTATATATCTTAAGCAAGCGATACTCAACTGTAACTGTAATGAATTATACAAGACAATCACCATGCAGACACATTGAAAAATAAATCAAGTAAATGAAGTTTTGGTTTCATTATGCCATTGCACCAACTGGCATGAAGATCAATCTTAAATGGGCAATCCCATTCTGTTATTGCCAAAGACAACCACCAGAGGGCACTTAGTAGGACTGAGACACAGTGGGCTGCAGGCATAAAGTGTAGCTCTACAATTATATTTTAACCCTCTGTATTTTGGATGTACTGAAATAGGATGATCCAGAGCTAATGATAATAATCCCTTGTTATTTTATTTTATTTTATTTTGTCAGTGCCAGTGAAAATGAGTCATTGCATGCATAAAAATGTAACTCCCATTTTGGCCACGCTATTTTTTTGCAGGAGTGGGTTGGATAGAATGAGTAGTGCACTTGTTTAAAGGGCTGACATGAGCTACTTTGGGCTCATGAGATTCTTCTGATCTCATATTAATTTATGACTTTGCAGTACAGTATCCTTTGCTGGTCTACATTTAAGCCTGGCCAAGCTGGTCTCCCAGTCTGACCAGATGAAATAGACCTCTTTAAAATCAGCCAACGTAATTAAGCTTGGAGATCATTTAAGACCAGTAAAGACTTAGACTGATTATGAACGATTCCCCCCCTCTTTCAGGTAGTCAGGGAGAGCTTGCCAATCTTAAAACCACTTTGGCTGGCAAACCACCTAGGCTGTTATTTTTTTCCAGCAGTTTTATCTAGTTATTAGACGCATTTGACCACTTATACTAGCTTAAACCACCTAAAACCATCTTAAACCAGCTAAGACCAACACACATGCTTGTTTGTGCTTTTTATATGTTCAGCAGGTTGTAACTGTTTTGATATGTAATGATGTACCACGATAAATAGAGATAGCTACTACCAGCGCAGTAAACACTGCTTACCTTAACAGTCCTCCCACTGAAGGGTTAAACGGATTTACCATCCACGGAGCGGGTTAGTTATTGTGGCGCAGCGCAGAGCCTCTGGACTGCGCGCTGCAGCGGACGAGCGCTCGAGCGCAACTTCAGTACTCAGTACTGAGCGCCGTCAGCAGTACCAGCAAACATAAACAATGGTGGAGCGGCTGTAAACCCAGCTCAACAGATCGAATTAGCCCCATGGACGGGCATTTCGCGTACATCGACATGGAAAACCCGACCGAAAACCCCAGCAAGGCGGCGGAGTACCTGAAAGAGCTCAATAAGATCATCGAGACCCAACAGGAGTTGCTGGAGAAGCAGAAGAATCGGATTGAAGCGCTCGAAAAGCAAGTGTGTGATCTTTGTCAAGAGAACGCGTGCTTGAAGGATCAGCACCAGAGGCACCTGGCCACCTGCAGACTGCAACAACAGGGCAACAGTCACCCCACGCTGGGTGCCATAAAGGAGAATGTGATCCAAGAAAAGTAAGAGTCCCACTTTTGCAAAGCTGTCACTGCTTGTTATGTTTGGACCACGCATGAATGGAATATCTAAGCAGGCATGTCAGCTAGCTGTATATGGTGCTCTTTAAATGACTAGTTATGATCAGTAGTGTTTATTTGTGGGTCTCAACGACAATGAACAGACTCGCTTAGCGGGACGACTTTGTGTGTGAGTAAATACCAGCACTCAAATGTCACTGGGCGTGTTATTTATATAAAATGCCTGTCTGTATTAAAGTGAATATATTAGATAACCCTTAAGGTGCACAGCTGCTCATAGTCACTTAGAAAAGATACATTAAAAGCAATTTTGAATGATACAGTCGGTGCCCCCTGCGATGCTCAATGCTGTCTAGGTAGGCAGCTCGCGTGGACACACACCCCATGTCGACAGCGTTCAATTTTGACAAGACTAAAATGGGCTTTTGACAATTGTTTACCCAGCGTCATTCTGTGCACGTAATCCTAGGTTGTCTCGTTCAGTGTTTCACACTGTTGTTCATACTTTATCCGGGGTTAGTAATCCTGGGTTGTCAGCTTTTGAGATTTCACAAGTAGGGGTTAATGTTTTTGTTTGCATATTTATGAGGTAGCTAAAGTTGATTGGAAAAATATGGCACGAGACCTGTTTTAATAACGGCGTGTCCATCTGTGGAAATGTTGCCAAGTAGATCCGCGCCGGTTGGATTCCTTGCAAAATATACAGCAAAATACGGTGTCTTCATAATTTTTTTCACGTTTGCCTTCGCAGTTTGACATATTTAACATTTCCCTCAGTTATGGAGACTAAACAGCGTGTGAAAGTTCTGAGAACTGTAGAAAGCTCGTGAATATTTAATGGAGTTGCCAGTTGCTAAACACATCCTCTCAAGAACAAGGGTTTCGTGACCCAGGGTGGAAAACAGCGCTAACACAGGTTTGAAAATGCAATAACCCAGGGTTAAGTGTAGTGTGAAACACCCAAAAGAGGTCCGGCTGAGGAAAAATTATGAAATGAAGCCGTTTTACTCATCTCTAAGCTGATGAAAGCATCTTTGAGCAAGTGTCTGATTGGTGGTTCAACAGTAAGAAAGACATGATATTTAAAGAATGTAAAATATCCTCTCTTTCTAGTAGCCTGTATTTTTTAATAACAAAACACAAGACTTAAGAGAATTGCTTGCGAAACGTCTGTTTTGCAGCTGCGATGGTTTTAATTGATTTCAGTCCGCCTTTGTACGAGAGTAATATGTGAACTTAAGTTGGCTTTGGTTCTCCCTTTGAGGTCATTAGTTGAGTCTGGATCAAGCTCATTGTTATGGCCAGTGGCACTTTATGACCTTATGTAATGTTATCAATGCATGCAGCAGAGGGATTCAGCTGGACAGTTTGATATATTCATTTTTAATTACTAGAAGAGGTAAGGTGATTGGTCATAATGAGGAAGAAGTATTTTCTTTTGTGTTTACAAAATATGATCTTTCCTGTCCTAGTTCTAAGTTTCTAAACCACAAAGTAATCTGCTAAAAAAAGATGAGAAACAATCCAAAAGTTAGTTTGAAAAATGAAACAGGAGAAGACAAAGGCTTCTAAAAATACATTCATTTTTGAGGAAGGCAGACACTCTTACAGTAAAACTCAGCCCATCCTTGTCAGCATTGCAGAGGCTTTGATGAAGACGGCGTCTTTGTGATCACAGAGGATAAAGTGTGGATTATGCATATTATCTGGTGTCTCTCCCTCATTAGCAGCACAGGTATCGGAGCACCAAACAGCATATGCCTCGGCACTGTCTGTCATGACAATTGGGAAGATAAACAGTTCCCCAAATCAGTTTTTTTCTCTTTTCTCTTTTTTTTTTGGCAGCTTGCAAATGCATTCTACTGGACACGTGCTATAATTAGATCCCCAGGCCCAGTCATTTCTCTCTTTTATGTAACAAATTCAATCTTTCATTGTTGTTTGAAACACTCAGATGGTGGCATGTAACTATTTATATATCTTAAGCAAGCGATACTCAACTGTAACTGTAATGAATTATACAAGACAATCACCATGCAGACACATTGAAAAATAAATCAAGTAAATGAAGTTTTGGTTTCATTATGCCATTGCACCAACTGGCATGAAGATCAATCTTAAATGGGCAATCCCATTCTGTTATTGCCAAAGACAACCACCAGAGGGCACTTAGTAGGACTGAGACACAGTGGGCTGCAGGCATAAAGTGTAGCTCTACAATTATATTTTAACCCTCTGTATTTTGGATGTACTGAAATAGGATGATCCAGAGCTAATGATAATAATCCCTTGTTATTTTATTTTATTTTATTTTGTCAGTGCCAGTGAAAATGAGTCATTGCATGCATAAAAATGTAACTCCCATTTTGGCCACGCTATTTTTTTGCAGGAGTGGGTTGGATAGAATGAGTAGTGCACTTGTTTAAAGGGCTGACATGAGCTACTTTGGGCTCATGAGATTCTTCTGATCTCATATTAATTTATGACTTTGCAGTACAGTATCCTTTGCTGGTCTACATTTAAGCCTGGCCAAGCTGGTCTCCCAGTCTGACCAGATGAAATAGACCTCTTTAAAATCAGCCAACGTAATTAAGCTTGGAGATCATTTAAGACCAGTAAAGACTTAGACTGATTATGAACGATTCCCCCCCTCTTTCAGGTAGTCAGGGAGAGCTTGCCAATCTTAAAACCACTTTGGCTGGCAAACCACCTAGGCTGTTATTTTTTTCCAGCAGTTTTATCTAGTTATTAGACGCATTTGACCACTTATACTAGCTTAAACCACCTAAAACCATCTTAAACCAGCTAAGACCAACACACATGCTTGTTTGTGCTTTTTATATGTTCAGCAGGTTGTAACTGTTTTGATATGTAATGATGTACCACGATAAATAGAGATAGCTACTACCAGCGCAGTAAACACTGCTTACCTTAACAGTCCTCCCACTGAAGGGTTAAACGGATTTACCATCCACGGAGCGGGTTAGTTATTGTGGCGCAGCGCAGAGCCTCTGGACTGCGCGCTGCAGCGGACGAGCGCTCGAGCGCAACTTCAGTACTCAGTACTGAGCGCCGTCAGCAGTACCAGCAAACATAAACAATGGTGGAGCGGCTGTAAACCCAGCTCAACAGATCGAATTAGCCCCATGGACGGGCATTTCGCGTACATCGACATGGAAAACCCGACCGAAAACCCCAGCAAGGCGGCGGAGTACCTGAAAGAGCTCAATAAGATCATCGAGACCCAACAGGAGTTGCTGGAGAAGCAGAAGAATCGGATTGAAGCGCTCGAAAAGCAAGTGTGTGATCTTTGTCAAGAGAACGCGTGCTTGAAGGATCAGCACCAGAGGCACCTGGCCACCTGCAGACTGCAACAACAGGGCAACAGCCACCCTACGCTAGGTGCCATCAAGGAGAATGTGATCCAAGAAAAGTAAGAGTCCCACTTTTGCAAAGCTATCACTGCTTGTTTCGTTTGGACTATGCATGGATAGAATATCTAAGCGGGCATGCCAGCTGTATATGGCGCTCTTTAAATGACTAACGTTAGTTATGATCAGAAGTGTTTATTCGTACAGCTCAACGACAATGAACAGACTCGCTTAGCGGGACGACTTTGTGTGTGAGTAAATACCAGCACTCAAATGTCACTGGGCGTGTTATTTATATAAAATGCCTGTCTGTATTAAAGTGAATATATTAGATAACCCTTAAGGTGCACAGCTGCTCATAGTCACTTAGAAAAGATACATTAAAAGCAATTTTGAATGATACGGTCGGTGCCCCCTGCGATGCTCAATGCTGTCTAGGTAGGCAGCTCGCGTGGACACACACCCCATGTCGACGGCGTTCAATTTTGGCAAGACTAAAATGGGCTTGACACGTGAAATTGTTTACCCAGCTCATTCTGTAAACGTAATCCTAGGTTGTTTTGTTCCGTGTTTCACATTGTTGTTCATACTTTATCCCGGGGTTAATTAATCCTGAGGTTGTCAGGTTGAGGTAGCTAACGTCGTTGATTGGACGAATACGGCGCGCGAATTGTTTTAATTGCTTGTCCAGGTGTGGAAAGGTTGCCAAGTCAATCCGCGCCGGTTGGATTTAGCCTTTTAAAAATATACAGCAAAAATCATCATTATCAGTTAACGTGTTTGCCTTCGCAGTTTGACATGTTTAACGCTTCCCTCAGATTTGGAGAATTAACAGCGTGTGAAAGTTCTGCGAACTGTTAGAAAGCTCATGAATATTTAATGGATCAAATCTTGATTGGGTTGCCAGTTGCTAAACAACGGTGTTAACGCAACGATCTCTCAAGAACAAGGGTTTCGTGAATCTTGACCCAGGGTGGAAAGCAGCACTAATTCGGGTTTGAAAATGCAATAACCCAGGGTTAAGTGTAGTGTGGAGAATCTTTGAGCAAGTATGTGATCGGTATGGTTCAACAGAGAAAGCAGCAAGGTTTAGTATGACCAAAAAAAAAACTTCTCTTTTTAGCAGCCTGTATTTTTTTCCATTTTTTTATATCATTTTTTTTAAATAAGAAAAACCCAGATTTAATCAAGAGAATTAGCTGCGATGGTTTTAATTGATTTCAGTCAGTCTTTGTATGAGAGTAATATGTTGACTGAAATGGCAAACATTAGTTTCACTCTACATTCTTGTCAGATCTTAATGTGTTTATTTATATTATTTGCCTTTAAAATGGAAAAATTCAAATCTTTGTTGTGAATGTTTGAGATGAACTGCCCGTTAGGAATTCCTTTTCGATTCCATTTGTAATACAGTGTTGTCACAATGCTAATCTGAAGAAGGGGCCCGAAGTATAATCTGTTGTTATTTTATTATGTTGACAATCAGGGGCTCACATTGCTTCTCGTGCCACATTACATGATGGGTTTACTGGCTTGCTGTAGTGTGTTAGGATTTCCAAGAGGATTCATTGCAAGAGATAAGTGTTTATCTGGCATATTTATGGAAATATGCATGAGTGTTTGGATGAGTCGGGAACATAGATTTCTCCCCCAGACATGTGGCATTTTAAGCCTCATGTGGATTTGGATTTTAGCTGTATGTCAACATGCAGTTTTCACATTAGCTCTTGTAAAGCAAATGCACTGACTGATCATTCATGATCTCTTATTTTTTTACAGTTTATATTGTAAATTCCTGTTTTATTCCGCTATAGTAATCAAAGCGGTAACCTTTAAAGAAGATGGTGCCGTTTCATGAGCTGCACTTGCACTTTCTACAGTACATTTTGTCAATAGCTTGTGTTGTAATTCGGTGCAGAGAGGCAGAAAGTTTGACTTTCACCTTCATCTTTCATTTAAGCAGTGCTGATTCTTTGAGAGTGAAATACTTTATCTGTTATTTACTGTTTTTGAGATCAGGGAAG